ATATATACATTTATACAATATATTTAATACATTTCTAGTGCTTATTAACCACAAAAATTCTAAAAATGTACCTAAACATATCATACTTTATAATAAAATAATCAAGCAAATTTTTTCATAGTATGATATAATTAGTTATGTGCATCATAAAACGTAAATAAGCCAACTTATGACTTATTGAAATATCGGAGTATCTTTGTGTACTTACAGAGGATTAAAAAGTTTTCAAAAATGAAATAAAAATTTAATAAAAAATTCTAACTTGGAGGAATTTAAAAAGAAATATTGCATACACATTTAATATTTAATACTTCTTTGTGCATATTCCATTAATTTCATTTAAATTCAGGTAGCTTTGTATACATTTTTGAGCCTTTCATAAAGTCTGAAAAGTCAATTAATTATAAACGAACAAAACTCGTATTTTAAAACAAGGAAAACATGCACCTTCTTAAAACGAAAAATATTCTTTCACTCGTTAAGCAAACAAATTATTTGAACAAAAGAAGTGCTAGTTATGCTAAAAGAAACTTGTCTCATTTAGATTACCTTCATGAGAACTTGGAACAAAAAAAGACTTTCTAACTTTTATTCCAGGCACACTCCAAGTGCTGTTCGAAACAATAGGTTAATAAGATTACGCTAAGAGCACTGTTTCTCAAAGGACCTTTAAAAGTAAAAGTGCAAGAGAAAGGGGATTAAAGAAAATATAATTATACTTAGTTTCTTTCAGACAGTTGGTGTAAATTCTCTAATTGTGTTTAAGAATTACGGAAAAAGAAATAAAAGAAGAAGAAAAAACATCATATGAGTTACTAGCACATACATTGTTAGTTATTGGCTTCATTACTTTTTTACCTCCTCTACTTCAAAAAGAAATATACAATTTAGAAAAAAGTGCTTTGACATGTTAATATTATCTGATAAGAAGGTTATTTAGTACGTTACAATTCTTCAGTCAACGAAAATTATACTTCTACAAAATGCACAATTATGAGTACAATTATCAATTCGGTAAACTCTTATGATTCATTCGGTGTCCTCCAATAAAGTTAAGATTGTCATTTTGAAAGACACTTCAAATTTTGAATCATTCAAAAATGACCAATAAACTAGTAAAATTTATATTCGAATTGGATAAAAATTTGGAAAGCTAGATCAATTTGTATAAAACCAAATTGAAGGAATTCATCCTTTTGCAGCGATTTCAAAACTATTGCAGCACATAACTTGTTTATTTGCTTCGATGGTACTTATTCACAATTATGATATTAAGTAATAACGTGATTACACTGAATTGAGCATTAAAAAAATAACTATAAAATACTTTACCAATTGGTTGCCTCTTGGTCCCCAGGCAACGTATTGAATTTTTTCTCCATAATTATTTGAAGGCCATAGGTGATAAATTTTTCTGTAATAAATGATAAATATATAAAATTTATATATCTGTAGCTTTATATTTCTGTCTTCATTTTTATAGAAAAATAAAATGATTTCCCTACTTAAAATTTAAAATGAATGACTTACTTGTTCTCTACATCATATATTTTATATCTTGCTTCAAATGAATATTTGAAGACCTAAAAAACAGCAGAATAAGTATATTTAAAAACGCTGAAAAAAAGTAAATTATTTCTCAGCAAAACATGTTATATGCTTAACAGGAAAATATTTAAAGTTATACATAGATTAAATTGTGTTTATCTTCTGTTGTATGACATGTAGGCTATTAAATTTTTAAATCACTATCATCGACTAAACACTGATATTACATGTTTGATTGTAACATTATTATATAATCCAACAGTAGCTCATTTTATAATAATTGTAGTTTTCCATTAAAAATAGATATTCTGTGTCATCTAATTTTTGTAATGAAACTTTTAATTAAAACCTTATTTTAAATATTTTTAATTGATCAGAGGCAAAAATTTCTCTTCAAAAATTGGTCGCAAACAAAAAAAATTGGTAGTAAAAAATTTTGTCTATTTAATACAATTTTTTAATACCAAATTTAAGCATTTTTCAAATACAACCGTTTTTGACTTTTTTAAACAGACTAGCATAACAAATACAAAAAACCAAAAGAGTTGAAGTCCATTGACATTTCATTGCTTTATTCATTTTTTCTTAAAAGAAGGAACTGACACTTAATATAAATTAATTTTGAATGCTGATTAGAAATTTTTTAAACCGAAATTCCATGCAACATTAACAAATAAAATTGCAACCATGTAAGCAATATCACTCTTGAGTATGTAAAGAAATTATTCTTTTCTCTTATTACGAAATACTTTACTTTACAAATTGAGAAAACACAACTTCTAAATCCAAATAAAACAATTTCTACATCTAAACAGTTGCAATATAAGACAGTAGTTGTAAAATGGTCATGGTAAACAACTCAAAAGATATTACTTTAATTAACAAAGCGTAGCATTCCTCCCAATTTTTGAATAGTAGGATTGAACTGATCTAACCAAAGTAAACCTGATTAACAGGAAAATATAAGACACTTTAGTTCTCCAAGAAAAATAAATGTCAGCATAAAATCTCATTCGAAAAATTTTGCGGGAATTTTCACAAGATAGACACAGCTTGTTCTCAAAGTTTTAAGTCTTGTAACTGGGTCATATCCGCATTCATTTTCTTCATTGTGATAATGGTGTTCGAATTCGGGTAGTTGAAACAATTTTCAGAGGAAAAAAACTTTTAATGGGTCTGATTATGTCAGCAATTTAAATTTTCACCCGAATAACTCAGACTTAGCCATATTTACCTACCATATTTATAAGAGAATTTCAACTATTTCAGCCAATAGCCAGAAAGCAAAATGAAGATAAAACAAAGAAAAATTATGGACATGTGAAAAAAAAAAGGGGGGGGGGGAAANAACAACTGGGGGAAAAAAAAAAAAAAAGGATGAAATTTTTAAAAAAAAATCAGAAAATAAAAGATATAATCTTTTCAACAGCCCACACGATTATATCCGCGAAAAAGTGTGCTTTCTGATATTGTATCAATATAGCCAAAGCAAAATATATTAATACAACAGTGTAAGGAGCACTCAAAAAAAACTTTTTACAAAAATTACATCAAATTAAATAGAATACAATAAGTAAAATTAACACGTAAAAACAGAAAATAAAATGAAATAAAAGGAAAAGACTGTATAAAACAAAATCTCTAAAGCGAGTAGCAAAATCAGATGTACTTACATTAACGGGAAATTTTTCAATAATGATTTAAAAATATTTTCGCAACAAGATTGCCAGATTACAAAATATGAAAACAAAAGCGCACATTAAGTGCAACTAGAGGATTTTTAAATCATTCTTCTAATTAGCTAATTTATGTTTTGTTTTCAGAATTTTATGGTTTCACACTTTTTTTCTTTGTTCATTAATTGCTTTTCATTGTTTTGAAAATGTTAAATTATATTGAAAAGTATGTTTATACGCTATTCGCTAAAATGTAATTTGTTATAAAATGATACTAAATTCTTCTTGCAAATATAGTCAAATTAAGGTACACATTGTAAAATAACAAAAAAAATTGAACACTAGTAGAAATCGTTAATTACAATGCTGTCTTTGATGTGAGCATAAATTTCAAGATAGCAATTGTAACTAACATTAACTTCGGTCTCTAGAGATTTATAACGGTAAATCCTAAATAATTTACGTCAACAATATAATTATTTTTCTCAGTTTAAAATGCATTGTAACTATTGAAGCAGCGAAAATAGGATATTGTGTTTGCTATTAGTGTTTATTTCAAATTATTTTGTAAGACTCGGAGAATATAAAAATTACAAATACGACGGGTTACATAGATTTTAAAAATAATTTACACACGTTTTAAAATTAAGAAGAAATACTTTTCACTTCGAAAATATGTTATGATCAAATTCAAAGTAAGTAATCAAACTAAAATTATTTTAACAAGAAGCAAAGAAATTTCAGTTACTCGAAGCAAACTTTTCGTGATGTGCCAATAATTACAACATCAACATTACAACACTATATCTGTAAAATAATGAACAAAAATTTTGTTTTTCAGGCAAATTATATGTTTTAAATCATATTCGATGCTATAAAGCATTATATATATTGATAATATTATCTAATAAAAACATTAAAACACACATTTTATGATTGCATCATATAAGAAACCTAATCTTATGTTTAAAATACTNTTTCAGGCAAATTATATGTTTTAAATCATATTCGATGTTATAAAACATTATATATATTAATAATATTATCTAATAAAAACATTAAAACACACATTTTATGATTACATCATATAAGAAACCTAATCTTTTATTTAAAATACTTTATTGTCAAACGTAAATTTGTTTACGAAACGATTCAAATCAAGTAAATTTTAACAAGAAATGTACAATTTAGAGTTCTTTCATCTAGACTATTTGAGATAAATTTAAACAAAACTCCTATAGTAGTAGGTTTATTCAAATCTCAATAATTATCTGTAGTTCACTTAACTTCACTTAATGAAAAATCGCATTCAACAATAAAAAAATTATTTTTTCATTATTACAGTAATTACTCGTATATGCATATAAAAAAAACATTTCTTATTTTTAACTTGATTGGAAGATATTCAGCATTTTTTAAAACTAATAAATTCCTTTTAAAAACTGTATAACAACTTTTAGAAGGGTTATTTTCATTGAAATACAGTGATTCACCTTAATAGATTAAACATAGAGCTTGATTAAAAAAAATAATTTGATATAAGCTTAAATTAAATATAAGGAAATATTATCTATAGATTGAAAATAGTTAATAAACTTATTTTAAAAGTTTATTTCATATTGGGAGCTTATATAAAGTAAAAGTAAAATTAAGCAAAATATTTCGGGAATAATACTGCAAGACGACAGTTCTGACAATGTGTGAAAATTCTATTTCGAGTTATATTTGTTAAAAATATAGTTATGAAATGTAAACAATTGAGACAGACAGACACACATTGATTCTTATATATATAGATAGTTAATTTCTCCTTTAATTAGCATTAACTTTATGCTGCTTCCTTTTTTCTTATTTGCCTTAAGAAAATTAGTTAAAAAAAATTTTTAGCAACGTTACAGTAAAATGCAAATTAACAATCTTTTAAATAAAGGTATTTAAAATTAATATTGAAAAAACTAAATCTTATATTTATTTTAATATATATCCTTCAAATCCTTGGTAAATTTTTGTAGATAGAGAAAATATTCATATTTAAATTTTATTTGTTCAAAACATTAGTAACTGGTTTTTATCGATCACGTTGGGACATGAAAATTTAGAATTAAGTGCTTTTCTTTGTATTGCTTACCTGAGTTATGTCGTAGCACAATAAAATGTATTTCAAATCTGATGACATACTATATTTAACAGCTCTTGTTTCTCTCTGTTATCAAGTGCAGCATCGTGAAATATGAAAAAAAAACACATTAATAATGATAAGATATAATCTACAGAAGATATAAATATATAGAAATAACATATAATTATGTTTCTATATTACGTATGGAAAATCATTCAGAAATCATATACAAATAGGCGTATTAGTATGTTTATAATGCTTGTATATGATTTATATCCCTGATTATGAGAGCTCACCTACATTATAAGGTAACTTTATACTTATATAAACTAACTATTATAAGTAATTCATAGCTTTAGAAAGCCATGTAAGTAATAGTCAGTTTTTACGTTTTTGAAAGGTTTCATTAACATTACTATTATGAAGAATGATGCGGAATATATCTTTCTGTTATCAGCTCAAAAGATATAAATATATTTAGCTATTAGTTAATTGGAAAACACGTAATTAATATTCGAGGCGTTGCAGTTTGCTTCTAGCAATGGAATTACCTGAAAGAATTTAATATTTTGAATTTTCAGTAAGTATTACAATTCTTTTTACTCTTCTTTTGTTGAATATGGCGCAATACATTTATATAAATATTTTTTAAACAAAATACCTTGAAAAGTATTTATGCATCCAAAATAACAAAAAAACATCATAACATCATTATCAATGTTTTAAGTAATATCAATTATAAATTTTTAATCATTTCTCAAATTTCATTTTCGCCCAAAACCTAGTTTGCTTAGTTAATATTACATAAATTATATAATATAAAAATTTCTTTAAAGAAATTATACTTAAATATATAATTCTTACATAAATAAAAAGCATTAGTTAGCATTTTGTAAAGTGCATTATAATAATTGACGGATGCTTATCTACTTTGAAAAACATCAAGGAAAAAAAATTACTTCTTAAGATTTTTTTAAGTGGAGCAAGAAAATGCCAACAGTAAGTCATATTTGTGACACCAACTTCATGTGCTACACTGCATTTTTTAATTAAAATTTTTCTACAAAGCTGGGATTACTTAAACTGTCACTATAATTTGATGAGAAAAAAATACGGGATAATCCTAAACGTTATGTTATTTGACGGCAAGACAAGAAATCGGCTTTAAGTTTCACGCTGTTAAGCAGCTAAGAGGCGTTTGTCTTTGCTATAAAAAGCGCTTGTTTATAAGATTGTCCCTTTCATTCTTAATTTATCTAAAATATTTTCTCTGACGGGGAAACTAAACGCTTTTTTTCCTTTCTACCTAAATGATGAAAAATCTTTCATTACGTTATTTTCTAAAGTGCCTGAACGCAAAGATTTTGTTTTTGCTTCAGCTTTTTCTCTTCTAAATATTATATGGTTTGATTTATTGATAGTATTTTTTTATTTTACAACAGCATACCCTTTGCAAAAATTATTTAAAGTTTTATTAATTAAAGTTTTATATATTTAACAAAATGCTAGTTTTTTGTGCCAAGAAATATTTATGTAAATTATAATGAAATGCGTATATTTGGAATTGTCTTACGTGACACAAAATCAGTAGTAATTCTTCAAGCTCGGAACATTTAAGTCTTGCCTGATTTTACTCAACTGCTTTTGGATCTATGCATTAAGAAATGGTTAAAATTATCAGAATATGGAAGCATTTACCATGTTTCTAGCTTTATGGAAACATCAGACAGCTCGAAAGTTCGTACAGAAGTGTTTTCGTAATGAATTTGGAGAAATAAAAAATGAAATATGGTTATTTTATAATTAGATATTAGTGCGTGCCATAAAAACAATTTATTTGGTTAAATTTGCTTTTCAGCTCTGAATTTTCAACTAAATTGATTGAAAAAAGACCAGTAATTTTGAAAACCAGAATTTCCGATGAACAGTTTCCGTATAAACGGAAAAATTACCAAATAAATGGCGTAGATACTGTATATTTTTGTTTTATTAGCAGAATTATGATTTAAAAAAAAAAAAAAACAGAAATATCGTAGGAGTTACTAAACAATTTTACTAAAATGTTTGTTCTCTGTTCTCCGTGTGTAAACACTCTAAATTTTAATTATTATTAAAATTAAATTAAATTATTTATTTTTCATTATAAACACTGCATGCTTCTACATACTCTACCTACTAAATATATTGAGAGTTAAAAATGTTTTTCATGAGACATTTTTAAAATCAATTATATATTGGATAAAAAATATTGTGGCAGAAATAAACAATGCAGATGTAAAATATAGCTGTAGTGTATCTACAGCTATTTATCTAAACATTCCCTATATTGGTGACCTTCGAACGAGATGTAAACGCGCCTACCTTGACAGTAACTCCCACTTCTATTTCAACACGCCTGCTTCGATGAATGATCTCCATTGAACAGTTGACTTGCTACTTGTGACAGTGACGTTATCCACTTCCTCGCGCTGTTGCTACTCAGTCACGATCACACACAACGTCGGCCTGTATACACTCGATTGCTAATGGCAACACAGGAGCAATCGCAACCGTGATCTTAATACAGCTCTCACAATCAGCACTCAAAAAGTACGGTGACCATAATACAGCTCTCCCGGCTTCTCACAGAACAGCAATGAATCAACTACTGGCATCCATTAATCGAATTCTGATCAGATATAATTCTGGTGGGGGAGCATCTACCATTACAAAAATACAATTCCAATTCTTTAGTATATAAGACATGCTAACTCGATTCTATGCTGGGGTACCTTTTCCCGGATGAAGGTTGACATTGCTGATAACTACTCTCCCCACAATAGATCAACGAATTTTCTTGTCTTGCTGAATTTTAATCTGATTTTTGATAGACTTACGACGATATTTTAGATAGATTAATTAAATAATTTTCAGTTACAAAGTTTCAAAGAGAATTGTATTTATATAAATAGTTTGTCTAAATGATTTTGTTGTGTAATTAAAATATGAACTGCATCAAATAGTAACCTGACTCAAAAGAAAATCTCATTTTTTTTTCATTACATGTTGCATTTTATTTTCATTCTTTCTTTTGGAAAAAAATCCTATAATGATATTATTTTTAATTTGTTAATTGAGAGTGCAACCGCATTGTAAAAGACTTATTATTTATTTCAGTCAAATTTTAATCTCTGTTACTCATACTTCAGGACACAGAACTTGATATCTAAGAAGATATCAACTTCTCATTTCCTCCAAAATTCACTCAATATTTAGAATTAAATTAAAAATCTTCTAAACTAACACTTGTTTGTTTTTTGTATTAAAATTCCATGTTCTTAAAATACACTGTTAGAAATTTCTTGGAAAAAATTGTTAAATGCAATTTATTTAATTGTTATTTTGCCATATTCAAACAAAGCAGTCAAATAACCATAAATAAGATAGTAATCAAACTGTTAACTGTGAGAAAACCCATTCATTAACTTTAAACTAATATGGCTAAACAACCAGAATTATTTCGCACCAACTAAACCAACCTAATGAAGCCGCTTAGTTCTTTGCAACTGTCTAAGTATTATAGCCGAGAAGGCTAATTTGTCAGTCTCACGATCGACAGAACTGGGGTTTGAGTCTCAGCCCTGACACCACAATATTTCCTCTATTCCCTTAACGCACGAAGAGTGTCCGGCGTTCTGCACTTGCCAATGCCCATAACCTAATAAAAAGACTAGAACTTATGTCTAGTTAAATTTACGGTTTTGCAACCATGGTTGAAATGGTTAGAAAACCGTATAGTTTTGTATTCAAGGTTTAATGACCATACTAGTTGTAAACGGTTTCAAAACCGTAATGGTAAAATATGTTATTTTCTGTAAACTTTACGGTTAATAGGATGGAGACACTGCTGACGGTAATTTTACCATAGTTTCAGAATGAAAATTCTAACAGTGTATCAGGGTATGTGTTAACAGCAGAAATGTGGCGAAATCGTAGTTCAAAATTCTACTTGCTAATAACGACTAGTTTCAAAATAATTTTTGATAAATACGTTTTTATGTTTATTTATTTAGAAACGTCACATGTCCTGCAATTACATCCTTGTATGTAGAATCTCATTATTCATTCTCAATCATACTTATAAACCGTTAATTTTCCGACATAAAATATTTAAAAAAAAAATTATTTGCGCATCATTAGAGATTAAAACTCTTCTTAAACTAAATGATGTAAAACTGAAAAATTCTTTATTTTTAATGAATTTATTATTTTGCTTCAAAAAAGGTGAGATGTGAAATTTGCTATAAATTACAACATAACTCTATTCAATAATTAAATTTCTCTAAGACAAACATATCCATATAAGAACATTTAATATAGTAAAATGACTTACAAAAATTGAGTTATGTAGTATTCTTTTTGTCGTTTTTAATCTGATGGAGTACAAAATTAGGTGTCCATCTTTATCTCTATATACAAGTTGGTCATCTGAAAATAAATTCAAATTTCATTTTTGAAACCATTCATTTTTGAACACAATTTGCTTATATTTAGCTATAAAATTTATAAAATCACTTAAAATTTATAATTTCATTTTTTGATAACTGGGCTTTGTAGCACATGTTTAAATGACATATTCTAGATTATAAAGTGATGTAATTTGGTATTATGATGTTATATATAAATAATGAACTTTTTATGTTATTAAAATGAATTATCTGCTAATTTTCTAAGAAAATGCATAAAGTTATTAATGCGCAAATATCTTGAAGATTATAGTAATACAAATGAAAGTTTGTAAGATATTTATTTAATTTTTGCATTGGTTTGCACATGATGGAAATGCTGCGGAACATCGAAGATGTTATATTATCAATATCAATGAAATAAGTTACCGAGGAGTATTTTTTCCTTCAGTTAATTCCATACCTATCAAATATGAATTTCTGATAAAAAAAATCTTTTCTGAAATTAATGTTGAAAACTGATTGTATTTTAGACATGTCAGGACATCAAACCATTGACTGAAATACTACAAATCAAATTTGGTGATTTGTAATGTGCTATGTTTGGTCATAGATGAAATGTGTAATTTGTTTTAGATATTGTATAATCTATTAGAGGTGAATTAAATTTTCGGTATAGGAAAACAAATTTTTTTAACAGGAATATTTTTTCTTCAATTGCCCAAAAGAATAACATCAGGAATCATTAATATATTGAATGGGGAATAGTGAGGAATGCTTACGAAGAATAGATTTAAAAAACATAAGAGCTCTCATCAACTCGGAATTCATGTTAAGCTTTTATTATTTTCATTTTCTCGATATTACTTGGCTTCTAACTATTTTCCATAACATAATTGATTAAAGACAAACAAATTACGAAGGGATTTTATATAAATATTTAAGAAAGGTTGATTATGAATGTTTATTTTTTTAGTGACAGAGAAATAACACTTCATAGCTTTAAGAACATGCAAGTATTTCTTACTAACATTATAAGTTTGGTTTTATTGAAGTAGTAACTTCAAATGCATTAATTCGTGAAATATACGTTTGACTTTATTATTTTGTTTAATTTACAATTTTTTGATAACAAAAACTGATTAGGATGATGTTAAAATATAACACAAAGTTACACAAAATGATATCTGAAGATTCATGAACTAGATGTGAAATCATACTAAGAGCACAATATTTTCTCAGCGTCATCACTCAGTTGTGGCCGAATGACAACTTAGCTCTTGAAAAAAAATAAAGATAACCATTCAAAAAGAATTTTTTTTCTAAATTTTATGCCAGTTTAACTTGAGAATAAGAACTTGAAGCTTAAGTTATATGACTTGTTCTTCATTCGATAAATTTCAATTTTTATTTACAAGCAATGCCAACAAAACATCATTTTATCAACAGTTCTTTCTTGTTTAATACAACAATAACTGTTTATGATGCAGATGAACATGGTTTCTTTCAGACGCATAAGCAAGTTCGTAATTCAATAAGATTTTAACTAAACTATTTCGAACAACGGATAAAGAATATCATATAATTTAACGGAAATTATTGCGTGACATTTTCGGTAAAATGCTGGACTTCAATTTCTGTTCTACAAATCATTTTTACAAGATTTGATGTCTTTCAAACTCAAAAACCTGCATGAAACTTCAAAACTTGACGTTTTTTACGAGGGACTAAATAACTCTTTTTGACCGTTTTAGGTATTTCTATGATTATTTATTTTAATAATGAACATAAACGCATGAAATTTCGATAAAATATACTTATTGTACAGTATACTTAAAACTGTATAATACAGTATACAGTTTTACTAGTATAAAAATTTAGGAAAAGTCAAAAAATAACAGCTCCAAAATTCACGAGTATCTTCTAAAGCAAAATAATGGTGCAAAAAATGATTAAAATGACCCCAATGGCGCTTCTAGCGTTCAAATACCTCATTTTATTGTACAGATAAAATATAATCCAAATAGTTTTAAGAAAACTTAATTCTCCATCCCCTTTGCTTGTTAGGAATTACTTAATTAATTCAATTTGACTAGAAAGCAGTTTAAAGAGCATTTTAAACACTTAAAATGATTTCGAAAGTGAACTAAGTAGATTAAATTTAAATGTTAGAAAGTTTTGAATCTTTAAATTGTCCATGCCAAAGAATTCAATACCGATCTCAAAGTTTTAAGACCATGGAAAAAGAAATAATTTGTTTTCCAAACCAATGATTCCGTTTCTAATATCCGTAACCAACTTCTTATTTATAAAAATTTTTTTCGACAAAACTGCAGTATAAATGGCACATGAATAGAATAAAAGTGATTTAGAGATTTTTGGTTTTATTTCTCTAACTGTGATGCGCGTATTTATTTGCATTGTAAGCAAAATTTCAAATTTTAACAATGCCAATTTCTCCAAACTTAAAAAAAAAAGTCGCCTTCAAGTAAAAAAGCCTGAAAATAATTAAAGACACAATGGTTTAAAAAAAATATTTAATGCAAATTAAAATTACTTTTGTGATAAAAAAAATTACAATACGCTGATAAATGTGTTCTGAGCTCTAATTAAAGTAAAACATTAATCATCATTTATTAAACCCTTCTAAAATTTTAAGTGCTTAAAACTTTTGTACTGTTTCAATTCATTTAATCATTTCAGTTAAAATCCTTTACGCATTTAAATTTGGATTTGCTTCAAAACATAAGATGTTCTTCCTTAATGATGTAGTCATGAGGAGATATACAAAGTTTAAACTAAGGCCACTCAGAGAACTTATTCCCCACAGCTGCAATTCCGACGCTCCTCTTTAATTTATCTCCACCCCAATTCCCTTTAAAATCCCAAAGAAGGCTAATTTAAATATTTCTTTACTCTAATGGTGTGGGTAACTGACCCACTAAGGCAATTTCAAGGTAGGATGGTTTGCAATGTCATCAAGATAATTTAAAGGGAGTTGTCTTCTGTACCTTGAAATAGCTTCGGTGGCTTTGGAACTATTTATTATGTATGAATCTTTTCTTCTGAAAAAGTAGCAACGTTGCTTTTATATCAACTCACTTTCATTGTCTATGAGATTAATTTGTTATATGCAGATAAATGACACTCTCAATCTTTGTGAGAAAAAGTTATTACAGTTACGTCACTTGATACTGTATTAAACACACTACATCTATATATATATATA